GGTATCACCGAAGCAGATATCCTCTCGACTGTCAAATTCGATCACACAGGTGGATATTTCGCTACGGGTGAAAGAGGTGATCAATTAGTACTCTTTGAGTGTAATGAGGTAAGTCTTCAGAACAGATTACAATCATATCTGTCTCATTGATCTTCATGGGTAACGATAACCTTGAATCTTCTGAACTCGATCGATCATGGCGTTTAACAGTCTGGCAAGAAGGGATGAGAATACAAGTTTTATACTGAGTTCCAATCTCATGAACCTGAGTTTGATTATCTGAAATCACTCGAGATCGAAGAGAAGATTAACATTACAAGATCAGGTGGTGTAAACGTCAACTCGGCCCATCGGTCACTTTCAACAATGGTTTGTACCTCATTTGCCTTTTGCACTCTTACATCATTTTCATCATCTGATACGTTCAGGTATATCGGATTGGTAGATTGACATACTGAATCTCCACCTTATTGCTAAATAATTATCCATGTAAGAAACCAAAAACAAACTCAACATAGTCGCTAATCAGATTTGTGTTTGTTGTTTTTGAAATCAGAAACTCAACATAGTCACTAATCAAATTTGTTTTTGTTATTTGTGAAAACAGGAGCTCAATATGGTTGATTCGTTTTCGATATTTTCAATAACAGGCTTGAAATATCAGGTCAATATCAATCTTGAGATTACCAGGATCAAATATCAAAACCTGAAATATTCATTATAAATGAGTACGAGTTTTATGAAATCCAAGCTATCCAACCCACAAATCATGATCACTCTTTTTGTTGAAATCTAATTTGATCGATGATAACAATAATGATGTTTTATAAATCAATAATCGAGTGATTTCAAAACATGGTCAATTGCCTCTCATTCTGTCAAATCTAGGAAAACTGACTTCAATAATTGATTGTATTCTTCTCTTTTGAAAAATTGTGACAAAAGCTGGGATATCAAGTACATCAACGGAGCCATGATCATTTGCGAGTCTAGGTCTAATTTTCAGTTATTGTGGATATATAATCCAGGTATTGGCGGCACCATTTCATAATTTCATGTTCTTTGTTTAGTAAAAGATTTGTATCTTCATATTATGCTCATTATACTATATTGTCACATCTGTACATATATGATCAAACTTTTAATGTCATCAATAAATTGATCGCATTTGAATCATTTGAAACGATTGTCTGCTAGCTAAATTTCAAGGCTGGCAGCAATTTTACTGGCTTTCTGTTGAGCCTCCACAGTGCCTGTGAGTAGCCTTGAGTAGGTCACAGACGGCGTGTCAACCCTCCGCATCTCGTCTTCGGTCGATCTGAAGGCTGGCTACAGGTGATATTTGAAAGGCCGTCTGCATACGGTGGGACCAGCGCCTACCTGCAGACGGTCCGTGACTATATAAAAAAAGGTCCGTCTGCAGACGGCCTCCGTCCCAGTCTGCAGATGGGCCAGACCACTCCGTGGTGTAGTAGTACAGTACCTAGGAAGTCATTACTGTACTCCAGGGCCCAAAATCCAGTATCGTTTTCTTAGGTACTGTACTCGGTACAGTATCTCCCTCACATGTACTGTACTGGTACCGAAATGGTGGGTACCTACAATACCGGTACTATACTGCTATAGTACCGGTATCGCCAACCTTATCCCTTTACATTTTCCATCCGTTTTCCTCATTACACCACCCTCCACGCCAGGAGGCAACCGATCAATGAAGATATTGCCAGATCGGTAAGTCATCCATCCCTCTAGTCTTGATTCTGCTCATTTGATCTAATTTCCCACTTCGTATTACACCTTGCTTCCCTAATCAATGGATGTAATTTTGGCAGGAGTGATCTAGGCCTGGGTCTATGGAAACATGTTGCCATATTGGTGGCCACCGGGCTATCTCTCATCAGATATTCCAGGTACCTTCTCAGTACCTGGACAATACTATGCAGTACCTTCCCTAGGTACGGTATAGTACAGTATATTTTTGAAGTCCCACGATACCGATACAGTACAGTATCTAGGTGTGGAAAACGGTACCCTACTCAGACCAATTTTTGGTAGTACCTAGGTTTTGAATACTGTACTGCGTACAGTATTGTATTCCCAGTACTGTACTGAGTAGTGTTTTGACGGGTATTGTAAAGTAAGGTACTGTACTAGTATTCTCAATACTATACCAGTACAGTACCTGTTGCTGCGTTGATAGAATGATGCACTTATTCAAGTGGATTTCTAACTCGAGTCTGTTGCTCATCCCAAATCTCGTATAACGTCAGAAATTGGCTCATCGGTCCGTCATTTCAGTCACGTACCCTTCAACGTCCTCATGTGTTGATTCCCCAGCATTCTGCGATAATTTATCTAGACCTTAAACTCTTTGAACAACTAAAGATATTGCGAACTGCTTCACATCTTACTCTTCCATCTAATCACCTATGTGTAAATTAGCCTCAAGAATTGTGAGCAAAGATTTGAACCCTGAGGTCAGTGAGCAGGTGCCGTCCGACTCTATGGAGGGAGATTCCCTAGAAAAGCAAACACTGGGTTCCAAAAGCAGGTCTGGAGTCGTCCACCATGCTAGTGTAACAACATCTACAACCTGCCTCATTATGACCAAAGATGATACAACATTGGGATACGGTGAAGCCTAATTGATCTGAAGCCCTCCTTAAACACCATCCAGTTCCTAGATCATATCTATGGCCGACTATTAGATAAGCACAACTGCAGCACAGACGTCATGTGTTGCAGTCAACAAAACTCAGTTAAGCCATTCACTTTTTTTTCAAAGTGCTTATTGGCATAGTTGCATACAGCACTAACTGAACTGTATAAAAGAAAGGGCCAGTCTACCTTGAAAGAGTGGTCATCTAGTTGAAAATGGTGTGATATTGACTTTTGGATGCAAAGGTGATTTCTTTTGTTAAAAAACACATATCCTACTTGTCAATATGTGTAAGATTGTACATACATGCCCATATATGTTGCTGAATCTTTTATGAAAGTAGAATTGTATTTTGGGATAGAAATATCCAAAAACAGGAACTCAAGATTCTGAGGACTGTGGTGGCTTCTTTTAGGTCTTAATACATACAGCTGAACCAGCTCAGAGGAAAATGCTTGATTTCCCAAGCTCAAAATCTTTACATGGGTATAGAAAAGTACAAGTGTTCTACCCATAGTTCTCTTTCCCCTGGGAAATGTCATTTTGTGCAATTTCTATATCTTCTGCCAGTCATCTGAAGCACTTTTTGATTTCTTTTCATCCTGATGGCTAAAATCTGGGACTGGCCATAGGATAGGGACCTACACCCCCCACTTAGGCACCTCATGGCAGCTTCTGCTTTGACTACCTAAGGCCCTAGTCAACTACCTTGGCCCTTTAGGTTTTCAGCCCTGGGTACATATATATGGACCCAAAGCCTAACCTGTAGCATATCACATTAAATAAAAAACCAATAGTAACACCTCATAACTCAGTATCAAAAGTTAAATATTCTTATATTACATAAAAACACTTAATAATAGGGGGTTTCAGGTTTGTTTGTGTTTTGCAATTTTTTTAAAAATTCCAGCAAGTTTTCTGTAAAACAAATTATGCATTTTTGACAACAACAGGCAAGTTGTAGCGCAAAAATACATAAAAATTTCTAACCTGAGACCCCCTAATAACATACAGTCAAACCCGCGCAAATGCATACCCGCGCAAATGCATAATCAGCCAATTTGCATAGGGCTTGGGTTCCACCAAGCTGGTGTGGGCCAAACTCCAACTATTGCATAATTTAGTAATGCATAGCGTGTTGCCAAAAAAATCCGGATGTTGGTGGGCATAATGCATAGAGATCCGGGGCCGGCCCTGGACTTGCGGGGTTCTGGAAGCACAAATTTTCATTGGAGCAGTTGTACATTCACATTTTTGTCTGCTTCATAATGCATAACTCTATGCATTATGACATTTCTGTTCTCATAGTGCATAAATGTATGTATTATGACCATAATGCATAGAGTTATGCATTATCACAAAGCCCGTTAAAATGAATAACTGGTCAAAATGCATAGAAAAAATCATCGCCCCAATTTATGCATTTGCGCGGGTTAGACTGTAATGCATTATTAAGTGGATAAAAGACATGATATAATAGGGGGTTTCAGTTTTTACGTATTTACACGCTACATCAAATAACCAACTGTTGTAAAATATGGATCCCACTATTTAGCGCCCCTCAGCAAATACCCGGAGCCCGCTTGTTTTGGGGCATTACCCGAGGTACCCGACACGGCCCGAGTGCACTCAGCCAAAATTTTGGTGAGTCGGACCTTGGGGGCTCCTTATGTGGGCATCTTCCCATGACACAGCCCCTCTTTGACCTTCTTCCAGCCCCATTTTTAACTGATAGGGCGATAAAAGCTGTGTCGCCCCCTATTGGAAACATTCAAAAGGGCTGCTCATTATTTGCAAGCCCGGACCGGCCCGTAGACCTGCTCTATCTGCCGGGGTTTCTCTCTGAATCTTTGTTCCCACAACCCACTTCACAGTTCAGTCACCCTGCATCCATCATCACGGATCATCTCACCTCCATCATCACACAATCAGACACAAACCAAATCATGGATCCTACTACGGCCAGATATCAAGATACTCGTACTCTCATGGAAACCTTTCATCTCTTTACACACATGTGTATCAAAAAATCGATTATCTTTCAACTTCAAATGGTTCACCTGAGTTTCCTCCGAGTCCTGATCGTCAAACCACATCATCATGTCCAACTACTTCGACTCAAACGTTAAAAACTCTTTATTGTTCTGCTCTGGAACCTACACGGGCTACTCATATATTTCCTGAAACTGCTGTTACTCAAATTGATGAACTTATCTTACCTGATAGTGAACCCATTCCAATCACTTCTCTACCTAAAGTCGGGCCTACATTTGGTCAAAGCCCAAGGTGAAGAAGTTGTTGAGTATGTATGGTGAAGATAGAAGAGGAAAACCTTGTGGTCATGTCTTTGAAAGGTGCAGGAGTTTATCATTGTATGTTAGTTACTCTTTACCTTCATCGCACTATACCCATGACATCATCATTTTTTCAATCAAACAAACTAACCAAATCGTCTCTTTTCTCCAGTGATCATGGTCTTGATACAACTTGTGCATTATATTCTAGATTCTGTCACACCTCTGATCACGCTAGTAATGATGCAATCTATTCAATTCACACCACCAGTTGTGGATGTTGTGATTGGGGTGATACAGAAGCTTGTAAAATTTAAACAAACTTCCAAGATCAACGAAATCATCTCTCAACCCATTCCCAAAAGAATGTAAAGATGTTATTGATCAAACTATCACAATCGCTCTCAATTTCCTTCTGATTAGTCAGGATAGAAGTTCTCAGGATACGACTCATCCTAATTTGGTTGGTGCATAACATTTGTAGCAAATTGAGTAGACTTGAAGAACATGCTTACCTTGAGACAGGAAATATTATCCATGAGAGATCCTGCCAAGAGGATGTTTTCTATGATGTATAGACTTTGATAATACAAATCGTGCTCCCTTTTATGGGAAATAAAATAAATGCAGGTCACCAAAAAATCATCTTTTGTTCCACCCGTTTTGTTGCTGTCTTTTCGCGGGTTGCAATTGGTACCCTGCAACACACCCCATTTATGAATCGATCTATGTATTGTGATTGTGTTTTGAATACAATACAGATGGTTTTGATTGGTGTTGCAACAAAACAAAAAACGCAAGAGTTAAGTCGCTTCCGTACATTTTGACTTGGTTTACAGTCGTTTTCAAAAAGGATGAAAAGACGATCACAAAAACTTGGTCATGTGGTCCGTGCGCGCGGCGGATGTCGCCGGAATGTGGGTGAATCCCGACAGCCACATACCGCCGATACAGCCCACCCATAGTGCTTTTTCGGCCTTACAAACAACTTCAATTCGGTTTTTTGACCTGGCAGTTATATTGTTGATGGCACTGTGGCATGAAGCCGCTGCCGTGACGAATGCATCCTGGCTGGGAAGCGTGTTTGAAACGGCTGCGTGGTCTTTACTTTTACGGTCTCGGCATATTTTCAAATGACATAAGTTTTTGCTTGTGAGGAAGTTTTCATCAGTTTATTGCCGCTCAGGTATAGCAAAAATAACCGTTTTTAGATGATGATTGTGGTGTTAACACATTCGCATCAATTGTCCTAACGCCATCCCCAACACTCGGCAAAAAGACTCCCTTTCAAGGCTCGAACCGCATCAGCCGCTACAATGCTTCTTCGCCATACCGTTCGACAATATCAACTTTCCAAAGGAGCCTCAAAGTCAGGCTATATCGAACAATTATAAAGCTACAGTTCGAGATTTGTAGACTGTATGAGAACATTGCCGATATATGGCTGTTGGGATTCATCCACATTCCGGCAACATCCGCCGCGCGCACGGACCACATGACCAAGTTTTTGTGATCGTCTTTTCATCCTTTTTGAAAATGACTGCACCTACAAAACCATTGAATCGACTTGTTACTACTACAAAACCCATTTCACAGTGCAAATACACCAAAATCAAGGATGATTCAATAAGATGTTGTTGAAATAAAAAGAGGAGCCCCTTTTTTAAGAAAGGGGGCTGCTGTATGCTCCCAGCCCGGTGTCCGGTCCGAGAAGGGGCTCCGGATACTGAACCGAGGGCGCTAAATAGTGGGATCCTAAAATATTCATAAATTTTTTACAGCCAGACACCTCAAAAGCTGCCCTGAATTGAAAATCTGTTAGTTTTACAAAGATATCTTTTACAAAAAAAACCAAATTTTCAAAATTATGCAAAAAAACCCAAACTTGGAACCACCTAATAAAAGAACATAAGCAATACCTAATATTGTAACAAGTGTGTCCCACAGGTGAGGCACATCTATCAATCCCAAGCCTTGCTGTTCTTTAAGTCATTGGCCCTTCCTTTTCCACTCTTCAGCTCAGCTATCATAGCATCTGATTCAGAAATTTTATGACCACCTCCACTTCTAACCCAATTTTCCTTCTCACCTTTTCTTCCACAATCTGCAGTGCAATGTATTCCTGTACCACATTTGACACACAATCATCTTTCTGTTCTTCTTGACATCTCCTCTCTCAATACACCAGGTCTAGAATATTCAAATTGTGTGCTTGAACGGTCCATGGTGTCCCATTCTCTTGTAGTGGGGGTGCAGTGTTTCAAGTAGTAGGTTGATGTTGTATTTCAGGGTGCAGCTTGTTGTCCACGGCAAAGGCATACATGGTGATATCAGACATTGAGTCAAAAGATTTGAGGATCCTGTTCACCCTGATTTCTTGTTTGAGTCTAGTCCAATAATGGATGAAGTGCACTGATTCACCCCATCCTGTACATGCCGTTAGTGATGTGAATTTGAATGTATAATCTGCTACCAAGCTGCTTTGGTGCAAGCTTCAAAGCTTGTGTTGAGCTCTGGTTTGGTGATTGGAGTCAAAAAAATAGCCTCAAAGGCCACACCAAAAGCTTTGAATGTTGATTCTTCCTTTTCATTCCAATGAAGGAGACATTTGAAGATGGGTGCTGCCCATTGATTTGCTTTGCCAGTAAGGTAAGAAAGGGTGAAGACAATCTTTGCCTCATTTTTGAGGAAAGAATTGGTGCTGGTTGGAAGGCATGATTCAACTTGATTGACAGACTCCTTGGCCATGTTGCCTTTGGAACCATCAAGCTTGCTGGGTGTACCCGCTTTGGGGCCTTGGAACAGGCCCATAATTTGCCTGACATATGCTTCCATGTGAGGCTTTGTAGGGACTTGTGGAGATTGGTTTGACACTGTAGGAGTTTGAGTGGTTGGTTGTGCTGCAGGAGGTGTTGTCTGGTATTGGGTTTGGGTTTGGTTACCCATGTTGAGCTACTGTACAAGGTTGTCAGTTGATCTCAAGTTTCTTGATGTAAAACAGATTCATTGCTTGACTGTTCTTTGGCAATTTGGTGCTGCTCCAAGTTTTCATCTAGTCTTGTGCTTAATTTTGTGAGCTGATCAAGTATTAAAGCAAGACTAGTGGTGACTGCATCCATTGTATTGACTGAGTTTCAATCACCTTGGTTCAGGACTGTATTGTATGACGAGTGTTCCAAAGCTTGTTTGTCTGGTGTTGTAAACTTTGCCATTGTTCTCCTTCTTTTAAGTTTCTAATCAATGGTGATAAAGTTTAAACCAATGATTTTCTGCTCTGTTCTTCTTTCCAATTCCAAGTTTCAATTTTCTTGAGTCAATGTGATCTGATTCAGTATGTGATATGTTTCACAAACTTGGTTTCACTGTGTTGAGGTATATATACTGCTATATTTTATGATCCAATGTGTTCAGTGGACACTGATGATGATGCCAATAGCTAAATAACTAAATTGCAGTATGAAGAGAAAATGCTACAAGCATGAAGAGAAAACAAAGTATAACTCCTGCACAATGCTCCTCTATACAATCATAAGCCAGTACTAGAATATTATGGATTATTACAAAACTGATCCCCAACAAGAGTATGGAGATTATGCAATGCATAATACCTTTACAAAAGCTGAAAGCTATACAAAACAGGGCCCATATCACAAGGTATTTTGAGAGCCAAATGTTTTTATAAGAGGAAATCACCTTTGGCACAATCACAGAACACAAATATCACATTTGTAAGTCTGAACTATGAAGACCTTACTTATGCTTTTATCTCAATGGATCAGGTGATTTCACTTGTAACAAAAGCTCTTGAGAGCTCAGCAATGGGATTTTATAACTTTATTACTATGCATTCCAGAACCCCTCACCTCTTTGACCCTTTTCAAGCTACAAGATTCCTGTTTTGGAAAACAAATCCTGATGCCAAACATTCCAAAAACCTAGTATGCATTTCAAAATAAAAAAGGAAGCTTTTGAAGCATGTGTGAATATAGCTAGAATTTTTATGTGCAGTGATTTTGGTGCATCAATTGAAAATAGATATGAAAAATAAATGAGCTATAAAAATATTCTAAAGAATGAATCTGTTTTCAAAATCTGATACAAAGGAAGAAGACAAAATCTGGTATCCTAAAGATCTAAAGTGCAGAGTTCAGTCACAACTTGGGCCAAAGCTAAACCTTACCATTATGAAGACAAAGAAGGAGAAGAAGTTGTTCTAGTAAGTGGTCTGTTAGAAGGTGCTTTGAGCTGCCTTTCAACTTCTGCCTTGATGTCTTGTGAGCGTGATGACTTAAATTCTGGGAATTTAGATTTGAGTTTATTCCAACTATTTTGGATTGATTCACGTGGATTGCCAATCTTTTTTATATTCAAGTAGCTCCCTAGTTTTCCTACAGTGTCCCGAGCTCTTTGCCCATACCCAGTAGTTGTAGTAGGTATGACTTCAGGTGATGGTTTGGTAACTGCTTCACCTGAACTTATCTCATTTGCCTTGGAAGGTCCAGATTTGCTTCCAAACAAACCTCTGAATTTATTCCAAGAGTTATTCATTTGTCCAGGCTGATAAACTCTTCCCCAAAAACCTGGAGTGGCAGCAGGGGTTTCAGTTGCCACTTCTGAAGTAGATTTCATTTCTGGTCCTGAAGGCTGTGATTTGCTTCTCAAGAAAGCTGGTCTCCAAAAGCTTTGAGCTGATGTTGATTGATCTGCTGCTTTGTTGACGTCTGGAGCTACCAAAGGCTTAGATTTCCATGGTGTCAAGTATGATGGCCAAGATCTTGGAGTGGATTCTAATGGATCTGCTACCTTGTTGACATCCTGAGCTACTGAAGGATTTGATTTCCATGGTGTCAAGTATGATGACCAAGATCTTGGAGCTGATGTTAATGGATCTCCTACCTTGTTGACATCCTGAGCTACTGAAGGATTTGATTTCCATGGTGTCAAGTATGATGACCAAGATCTTGGAGCTGATGTTAATGGATCTCCTGCCTTGTTGACGTCCTGAGCTACTGAAGGATTTGATCTCCATGGTGTCAAGTACGATGACCAAGATCTTGGAGCTGATGTTGATGAATCTGCTGCCTTGTTGACATCCTGAGCTACTGAAGGCTTTGATTGCCACATTTTTGAGAAGTACGGCATCCCATATCTTGAAGCTGGTGTGGATTGATCTATCGCCTTGTCAACACTCTGAGCTACTGAAGGCTGTGAATTGGTTTTGGAACTTGGAAAGTGTGACATCCAAGAGCTTGGAGATGATGAGGATACATCGGTTGGTTGTTTGGGCACTGAAGTAGTTATTGTATCTCCATCCGTCGCAGAGTATGTAGGTTTTGCGGATTTGTCTCTGACCGAACTCATGAAATTATGCAACTTGTTCTTTGCTGAGTTCCCGAGATTCCCCAAAAAACTTGTAGTGGTGACAGGTTTCTCCGCAACTGTTACATCAGCAGTAGACTCCAGTTTTGGTGTTGCACCTGAAGCCTGATTTGTTGCCTTGACGTCCTGAGCTACTGAAGGATGTGAGTTTGTTTGGAAAGGCTTTCGGAACACGTTAGTTAACCGCGTCCACCCAGAGGTTTGAGGTACTATGGATTGCTCAGCTGGGCTAGCGACCGTTCCCTTTTCAGTATTCAGCAACTTGGCACCTTCATCAGAGGTGGTTGGGTTTTGTGGAGATTTTGCTCCTAGAGCTGAGATTTCTTCCGCTGGTGCTTTGGGGACTGTAGGAGCTGATGTCGAAGACTCAGCAGGATGAATCACTTTCGCATCTTCTATCGGGACAGATTTAAGCGGTTCTCCAGAGGTTTGAGGTGATATGGATTGCTCAGCTGGGCTAGCGACCGTTCCCTTTTCAGTATTCAGCACCTTGGAAACTCCATCAGAGGTGGTTGGGTTTTGTGGAGATTTTGCTCCTAGAGTTGAAATTTCCTCCGCTGGTGCTTTGGGGACTGTAACATCCGATGTCAAAGGCTTAGCAGGATATGCCACTTTTGCCTCTTCTATCATAAGTGATTTAAGCGGTTCTTATGTTAATAAGATGTCGTTTCATATTGCGCTTCTCAGACAAAGAGGGACACATCTTCATACCTGATATTGTTGATGGGGTAGCTCCCTTAGGTTGTGAAAACGGAAAGTTGTGAGCGGCGTTTCCGATGATCTTGGTTCGGACTTCTTCTCCCGTTCTCACAAGATTGACATCGTGTGGACTGGTCCCCGGACTGAAGATGCTGAATGTCGCGTCAAGCTTTTCACCTTATATAGATCAAGTGTACACAAGACCAAGCCAATGAGCAAATAGATACTTATCAGGAGTGAGGTGGTATAATTGCCTACCTGATGGATGTGACACGCGCACAGCATGTTGATAATCCAGCCCACTGGCACCAGGATCTGTGGAAAGGACGAATGTTTGATCAGACACCAAATTTTGGAGGATTTTCAAAAAAAAGATGCCGTACTGACTCTGTACGCTGCGAAGTGGACCCGCGGTTGTGGGAGGTTGGCCGGCATCAGCTTTTTCGCCAGCCTTTGGGGCGTCGGTCGGTCTAAGAGCCTGTACGGGATCGGCCGTCTCAGCAGCCTTCGGGGCGCCGGTCGATTTAGCAACATTGAGGACATCGCCCTCTTTAGCAACATTGAGGACATCGCCCCCTTTAGCAGCATTGAGGACATCTCCCGCATTTGCAATTTTGACGGCTTCACCGATCATGGGTAGTCCGCTGACGTGTAACTTCATCATCAACAATACCAAGACAAGAGCTTTCATCCTGAAAGCGAGAGACTCTTTTACCATCCTCCAAAAGGAAAAAAGATGATTTTGCCTTTCGAGAGATGGATTCAGACCTAGGAATGCCTTGATGAGATCTTTGATTTGAAGGTGAAGAAGTGTGTTGCGATTTGATTTGTGTCTGTATTGAAAAGCTATTGAGATTCACAGGATGAATAGGTCGCCGAGGCAGGAGTGCTGGCTATATCTCGATCTCGCAGCTATGTATCCCCAGTCAAGAACAGCGTCAGTGATAAAGATAGAAATGCCCAAGAAGCAGAAGTACAGAGGAAGTCAACTAGTAGTGACTTACAAGGATGTGGAATTAGAAAAGAAGGAATCTTGTAATGTAAAATAGAGCGAAAGTGTTGTGAGGTTTAGTTGAAATAAATAAAAATGGTCAAGTTGAAAGAAAACTGCTAAAAGAGGGAAGTGATTCAAGTCAGTTCAGCCCTATATGTCTTGCGTTCTTCAGCATCTTCACCCCGCAGTCTGAGACACTTTGTCATCATCGCTGAAGCCGAATTTTTTTATCTATAATTTCGTCGGTCTCCACAAAACTTGAGGTTAATACTTCCTCGGTAAGACGCAGTTCGTGAGTTGGAGGGCGCAGGCTAAGGGGAAATTCGCTGGGGGTTGAAGTGTAGCATGGCGTCAATGAATCATATTCAATGACACACTTTATCTCAATATACATTCCTGCTCGCAGCTCGTCGCTGTATGGGTAGTGTCAGGAATCAGGATTTCAACATATAAGGGATGAGGCTCAGCCTTGAGAGATTGAGGTGAACAAAAGCTCGCCAAGAACTACTGAATAGAACTCTGGTAACGTAAAGAATTGCATGAAATCCTTGTGACACTCGTTGATGGAAATTGGTCAATAAGTTTTTCATACAGTCATCAAAGGATCACTAAAATTGTCAGAACAAATAAAATCAGGATGGTGATTTTTCACATACTTCATCAACTGATTTATATTCGTGTAGCTGCAGTCTGTCTTTGAAAGGGATAAGAGGGTGCAAGGATCTAATTCTTACCCCGACACTTTTCTTGACCATTCAGAGTAAAGCCTGACTCGCGGTCATGACTAGAGAAAATGTCTCCAAGATAAATTGAGTTTGACTTAGAAGAGGCGATTCAGTTCCTGATCATTTTAATTGCTCAGGAATGATTGGCTTGATGAGCAGATCAAATCAATATCCCATGTATCATCTGAGTCTCATACTGTCAATAATGTTATCGCCTACAGTCAGGTATGATTTCACTCAATTCACTCAATTGGGCATGTGTCATTCCGTTAGGCGTTTGTTTTCTATCTTTCCAATACTGTTCGAACGTAAAATAAATACTCAAGCCTCACAGTCTGAATTCCTGGTTGTAGCTATTGACAAGACATGACTGTACATATATCGCAATTGCATCTTCAAACACACTTCAGGCAATCTTTATTCATGCACCCCTGAGATAAAATAATTTCATTTGTTTAAGATGAAGTTTCACAGTGTTTCCTTTGTGTCCTTCAGGTTTCTTTGGTCAAAATCCTGTCCAAGACGCACTCGTGTTGATGTATACTTTACAAAATCAATGGAAAGAACAAGTCTTGATGAGCTCGAGGTTTAAAATGCAATAAGGAATGGAAAACTTACCAATTTAAAAGACTTAACAAAGTCCGATCATAAGACGGACTTCCTAGTTGAACATCAGAATTCATCAACAGGTTCAGAATCCCATAATTGAACATGAGCCCAATCTTTCGCAGGTTCTTGATCCCCTTTTTTATCTTTCTCTTGATCCTCATCTCCATCATTATCATCATCATTTCCATCATGATCAGAGTCTTGATCTTGATCTTCATCATTCGATTTTTGATTTTCAGTTCTCGTCGGTTTATCCGCATATCGAGCACCATTCATATCATGAGAGATTTGTTGGAATTTAGCTTTAGTATGTTCAGGAACATTAGCCAAAAAGATAGCCGTAGTACTTTCTTTTAAAGTTGGATTCTTTTGAAAGACTTCCCAAAGATTAGTTTTCAATCTATCTTCTTCTTTTTGATCTTCTTGACTTAAATCAGGTTCGGATTCTAAGATAGCTAATCTTCTAATCTCGGCCAAAGCTTTTACATTTTCTTCAGGATGTAATAAATCATAAACTTCTATAGCTCTAGTGGCTGCTTGAAGTGCAGTTTCTCGAAGAGTAGCTACTCGTTTGTTATCAATGTTTTTAAAGTTCTGGGGACTAAGTCCTTCACGTGTGAGTTTATCAGGATCAACAAAATACCATAACAGATTCCAATCGACACCCCATACTAAGGGGATTGGATAAATTCGAGGAAGTGGGATTCCGCCACGTCGTCTGAAACGCTTTCCGTTGATAGTCAACCCTGCTAGTTGCTGTGAATCGACCACTGGGCTATGAAATTCGGCTGATCCTGATGGAAGGGATTGGATCGGAGTCGCATTAATCACCAATAAGGTGAAGGCAAGTGAACAAATCTTCATAGGTATCCAATCAGTCACGCGCATGTTGGATTGATGAAGTGATCCGTGCTCGATGTTCTTAGACCGTGTTTGTCGGATTGAAATCGAAAACTGAGATTTCCACCTCGCAGGTTGAAGTTAAAATAATGTTGGGAGTAATTTAAGGAGTGACTTGATGAATTGATAAAAAAGAGTGGCTTCAAAAGAAAGAGCAAAAGATATGATGAATTTTGTCAGTCATTGTGTGTGTCAAATAATGAGAGCGGTTCTAGTCGTTGACTTCTATTAAAGCTTATCTCGTACTTGGAAGGAAGAACTTGGGTATCGAAAGTATTGAATAAAGAAATCCTCACTCACCTGGCTAGGTTCTCTACGTCAAAACAATCTATCCGAAAAACCAAGACTTGAAGGCAACAATGTGACCCACTCAGAGCAGTGAAAGAAGATATCTTATGGATGACCATCGTGATCGAATCAAGAAATTGATTCATACTTTAGAATCAGATGAGACACGTCAAGCTTACTTCAAGGATCATACTAAAGAGACTTGCTTCGTCTATCGTTGGGAATCATTTATATACAAAAATCTTCCAGTCTTCTTGGTTTAGAAACGTAAGATGATCGTACATCTTTTAGTTCTCATCTGTCCTCTCTTGGCACATGAGGTGGACTCGAAAACCTGAAGCTGATTCTAACCTTTGAAATCACGTTGGCCATGTCATTAAACCTCAGAACTGGGAATTGATAAGCTAGACGAGCGGTCTTTGTAGAGCGACGCTGCGAGTTTCCCTGCCTTCCGCATGCCACAGCTTCCCCCACCTCCATACAACTCGCATGAACTTTTTACGATCTCAATTTTGCTTGGCTTTTGTCGATGAAACCTGTCCACTCTGGTAAACGAAGGAGGTGCTGGAAGAAGATGAGCTGAAACATTACCTCTTGACATACATAAGTCGTGCGCTACAGTGGGTACACCATTGAGTCGTGTTGCGTTATTCGAGGGACATTCGAAGATCTTTGATGTGGTAAGGAGGTCCTGACACAAGTTGAAGCAACCAGCTCAGAGTTTTTCTACATACAAACTAGAAAGCCAATCGCGGCAGAAATATGCATGTTGGATGCTAGAAGCACCATGGAAGAGCGTACTGACAAAGATATATTTTGCAAGAAAGACTCTTTCACTGGCTGTCTGAGTGCAACAGGCAGTTGGTCATCCTCATGAAGATAGGTCTTCAGACTTCAGCTAACTGAGCTGCACTCGCTCGGGCTGAAGCTGCCTGCTTGATTAAAGACATGAGACTCAAACATCGACCCAGGGTGTCACATCACCATGGTGTCTTCTTCATCATGTATCTCTCAAACTTTCTTTCCAAAAAAGTCATCCTACCCACATGATTCATTTCAGTCTCAACCATCCTCTCAATTCCACTCATCCAACTTACCCTGTTCCCCATTGTGTACAAATCTAATCAAGTAACAGATTGGTATCTCTGGCTCTACTGAGTCAACAGAGTTCTCAATATTTTCTGATCCAGATGATGTTCAAGTCACCTTCAACCTTGATTATTGAAAAGAAAATCACTTCCACTTATCTGAAACATGCTGCTCGCATACACCTATCTGCAAAATTAAAAAAAGCAATATGAAGAGTACAATCGAGGTGACTTTTCTTTAGAACCATAGAATCATAATCATTCAATTCCAATGATAGATCAAGTATAATAGGCAAAAAAGCAACATTGAAACCTCAAGATAAGATAATATAAAAGAAAATCAAAAGAATCGGCTTCATTCCAATTGATTATCACTTCATGTTTTCAAATGGTATGTTTTAATTATATAAAATAGAGATAATCAAATAATCACATGCATTTTTCTTTCGTTCGCTTTTCTTTCATTTTCAAGTATAGTTACATTTCTTCATGATCTTTTCTCTCTCTTTTTTTCATTCAAATCCTTGGTTTGGATCTTAACGAGTTCTAATGATTCCAGCTTCAACAAGTTTTAAAATCTTTTCTCTTATCATCGGATTGGCCATATGTGATTGTAAGGCTTTTGGATCTTGTTGTCCTTGTTGTAAGATTTGTTGCATAACAGGCTTAAAACAAAAAAATCAAAGAAATCAATTTCATTAGTTCAACCAAAATCAAACGATCATTATTTTGTTTTCTCTTTCAATCAAAATTCAATTTCCACTTACATCCGACATGATTTGTTGAATCTCTGGATCTCTCATAGCTCTCTCAAGTCTCTGTTCATCCGTCTCATTAGCTCTTTCCCCAAACTCAGCCGCAAACAACTTCTGTCGATGCCCAGCAATCTCCTTAACATGTTTCTTCTCAGTATCAATCTCTTCAGCCTGATTCAAAGCATCAATAGCTTTTTTATGTTCTTTCATTGCATGTAACGTTAAGGCTTTACGAATGTATGCTTTGGTGAAACTTCGATCGGCTTGGATGGCTGATTCGGAATCTTTGAGAGCTTCGGGTAAGGCTAGGAGTTTGGAATAACAGGCCGCTCGGTTCGTGTAGGCTTTTGGATCGGATGGGTTTCGTTTGATGGATTCGGTGTAATGTTTAACAGCTCCTGCAAAATCACCTGCCTATCAATTCGAAAAAAAAATGTTTCTTGATTACTTTGGATTTCTGGTTTCATAGAAGTTTCATCGAAGAAACCTTTACCTTGAACAATGTGTTTCCTTCTTCCCTAGCTTTATCAGATAACTCAGGATTAATATAAGCCTTTCTTTCTTCTTCAACTTTAGTTTTTTCTGCCTAAAAAATCAAATCCAAAATGAAATAAGATTAGATCCGAAAAAAAAAGTTGAGAAAGAAAAATGGGGGTTTTCATACTTCTTTTAATTTAGCTAAAGTATCAGGTGTACGATGTTCAGTTAAAGATTTTTCCAAGTTCTTGATTGCAGAATCATATTCTCCTTTCTTAAGATAAGCAGATCCCATACGAGCAAAAGATCTAAAACCAAAATCAAAAACCAAAAATCCAAAACCAAAATCAGAAAACAAGAAAACTAAGAAAGATTGAAAAAAAAAACTCAACTTAGCAACGACTTTATAATCAACTCTTCTTTCTCTACCTTCATCAACAGCTCTTTGACATTGATTTATACATTGATCAAATTCACCAATTTCAAAATAACAAGCCGCTAAATTATTTAAATAAATCGGATCTGGATTCAAAGAAAATGCTTTTTGATATGATTCAATGGCTTTTGAAAAATCTCTTGATTTATAATATGTATTTCCTAATTGGTTTCAATCAATCAAAAAAAACATCCAATGATTTAGTTTTTTTTTCCGGTGATATAGTATTGGAATTTGATTACCTTCGGTTTTTAGTGCGTCTGCTTGAGCTTTAAGTTCTGGTGAGATTTCTTCAGTCATTTTGATATATGATAGTTCGGTAAATTTGAGAGTTCAAGTATTTTGATTTGATGAGTGATTGGAATGGATGAGGTTGAGAGTGAGATTGAGATTGAATGGTTTTTGATGACTGTCCAGTGTCAATAGTGTTTTCTGGATTGTTCTAGAGAGATCGAGGTAAACCTCTCTATAACCATGACTTACCAACTTACTACACTGAAACTGATGTATGTATGTACATATCTTCTCATTTCGATCAACTTCGATCAATTCATCACAACTATCATTCCAAAAGCACCCATATAACAATCCTAATTGTATAATCTAAAAAAACAAGTCATAAAACCAACAAAAAAAACCAAACCATTTTGCGATTCCAATCATTTCAACTAAAACAAAACAAACCAAAACCAAACCACATATCTTGACTTCAAGTTTACATACATATTCTCACAACTTATATCCGACATCTTAATAAAAAAAACACATACAAAAGAAACAATGATATTTTTACAATTGATACCTTTTTTGAAAAATGAACCCATGTGTTATGTATTTTTCTTTTGAGCTTTTTTTGAAACCAAGCAGTAACCAAAATCAAATCCATCTCCTTCCCAAGATCCACCACCGCAAATTCTATTCAAGTACTAAATCCTAGGTGAAGGACTCTATTTCTTCTCGTGTTTTCAAAATCAAGTAAATATATATATATACGTATACGAGACTTTTCCTTTTAAATCTGTTTCATATTAGGTTCAGTAGTAGTACCTAATTTAGGAATACAGAGAACAGCATCTGATGATCCTTCAATAGAATACATATGAAGAGATCCACCTAAAAAACCAAACCAAGAAAGAGTAAGTCAACTTGTATTAAAAAGAAAAAAAAGAGAAAAGCAAAATCAAAGGAGTCTATAACTTACCAAAGAATTCAGCAAAGATAGAAGACAAAGGTAACCCGATCCTCAATCGAGCATCCTGAACATCCTTTTCCTCATCCTCAAGCACTTCTAGATCTCCTTCTTTCCAATCCCTAATCTGTTCTCCCACCGTCCCAGCCAATCCTCCAGTTTTGATTAATCCTTTTAATCGGTCTTGATTCTTATCTCCTTCAACTAAATGTGAAAACGAAAATAATTCTCTTCGATTGATCGATGGTGGAAAATCATCTGATTCATCTGATATCCAATTTGGTAAGGGTGAAATCGATGGTTTGATACCTCCTGCTTGATCTGAAATCCTTATACTGATCTCAGTTGGTGAGGTGACAATATGGATTTGGATGGGTAAATTGGAGGGGGTGATGGATTTTTTTCGGGCTTGCTTTAGGGTGGCTCGGAATGAATTTAATAAGAGTTCAAACATGATATACCTAGAAAATAATGATAACAGAAAGTCTCAGTTAAACACGCTTGATTGTTTGAGTCTTCAGACAAATCAGATCATCTAGCAAGTGAAGAAAGTAGCTAGAATGCGAAAATTCAAAAAGCCAATAAAAATAAATGAATTGGGTACTCACTCCAACTGATCTGGAATATAAGCAAAACTAGCATCCTTCTCTCCAGTGATCCTAACATCAAGCATAGACGTATCCGTACCCGAAAGACAACTCAGACCAAGTTTAGCTTGAACCAGTGTAATACATTTCTCAATCACGTTCAAAACCTTCAGTTCAGTATTCACAATACCAATATACCCTTTTAACTTTTGATTAGATGATGATGATGAATTTGAATTTGATGACTGATTAGATTGAAATTGATTGGTTAGAGCTATATGGTGTTGGGCCAATACTCGTCTAGAGATACGTGATTGTAACATTCGAGTCATGAAAGTATCAATTTGATGAGAAGTAAGATGGTTTGAAGATTCTGCAATGCCAATAGCAAGCTAGAAAAAGAAAAAAAAGTCAAACAATTCATCAATGACAACGAACAAAACTCAGCAAAGAAAGAAAAAGAATAAGCACACCTGAGGTATTACGATCCGGTGTTGATTAAGTAAATCTTCGAGAAACTCACACCAACTTTGATTATCTTGTTGATCAGTTATTGGAGGATAGGATCTCATCTTATCAAATGCATCTACGTAAAGTTGTAAGGCATCTGTTAGATGAGGATTAGATGCTACAATATATGGAAGTGATTGAAAGTCTCGTATCCGTCTAGCAATTCGAATTGGTAATTGAACTCGAATCTAAACCTCATCAAAATCCAAAATTAACCGAATCATACAAAACCAAAACATACATAAATATTAACTTCAAGTCAGTCAAAAATGATCGGAGAAAGATAAAAGTGAATTGAATAACGAACGAACAAAATTAGCACCTCTAACTAATCTCTTTTGATGTTCAACTTCACTTTCAATCTCATCAGATTCCAACATCTTACCAAAAAATATTAATTGTCTTAAACTAAATGGAATCGAATCCATTGCAGCATAACGAAAGATATGATTGTTTTTATAAAATCTTCCATTTTCTTCTGGGATCCTACTTGACTTTCTTATGTTTTGAATGGTGAATTTGGTGGAAAGTTTCATGAGATTTTGAGTTTGTGATTTGTTTAGGTATCTTCGTCGGATGCGTTTCTTTTGATTCTTGATTCTGGTTAAGTTTGTTGCTCGGTGGTGTCAGTGAAGCTGATTGATGTGATACGGTATCAGACACCGATGACTCAAGTCTGATATAAATATCATATGACCCGAGGCCCTATCTTTCAATCCCGACTCCCGAGCCCGTAGCCTCGGTGTTAGCATCGGTCCCATCTCAGCCAGTTTTGCACTCAGTCTGAAGCACTTCCTCCACTTCCTGGTGGTTCAGGCTGTCAGCCTCCACCAAATGATGGACCAGGACCCAGGAATGGCCCTATGCAGGTGTGAGACGTGAAGAAGGCACTTTTCCTTATGAAATTTTGAAAAAATCACAAATAATCCTCTTTGTGGTCCCGCACATACGCTGGTTTTTGGATTTCACACTTCAAATAATTGCCTTCTTTGTCAAACACCTCAAAAGAAAAGAAAAAAAGTTTTTCCCAGATAATTATGTGTAACATTATGATGATATCAAATCCCAGTTCATTCAGAACTTCCTGATTCCTAAAGCACATGTTTGTTATATAACCATCAAACCTTAGTTGAAAATTCCTTCATTGTTGAACTTGGGCTTAGATTTTGATCATGCTGATTCAATATAATGGTGGTCAATCAACTTCTTGACATGCCCAGATGCAGGCATTTTGTGTATGACTATTGGAATCATATAGCAACCCTCACCAACATCAAGGAATGTTGTACCTGCAGAAAGCTCAGATCAATATACTACACCAGTAGTATCCAAGACAGAGTGCATCAACTGAGTGTATGTCACACCTTTAGTTGATGTTATGACTAGATAACCTGGATCATAGAAAAGGATCTGTATGGTGATGTGTAACAAACCCTTGCTTGAAACTGCACTGATCAAGGTCTTGCAAATAGATCTCAGAGCTTCTGAGAGCTCCCCAAAGTTTGAAATGCCTTGACATGAACATAAACCTATCTGTTCAAATCCTCACCTTTCATGCCAGACTCACACACAACAAAATCTTGCACCTCAAAACTCCCCTTTCAAACAATTCCTATGATCATGTCTTGATTTCATCTCATTTTTCATCACATCATGAATCAAAGGACATAAAAACCCAATAAATACTCTCTTCAACTCTTATGAAGACGCAAGAAACTCAAGCAGAAGATTCAAACTCATCATAATAATCCAAATTATCATTTTTATAGATTTTCTACATTTGATTCTCAGAGAACTTGAATACACACAACAGAAAATTAACAAACCTAAACATAAAATGAAACACATAACTTAAAAAAGGAGATCAAAATCAAAAAATGATCAACATTGATGAAATGCAAACAAGTTTAGAATAAACAAATGAAGAATACAAACACTTACCTAATTGTAAATTTAGCAATTCCAATCAATTCATCAAAAGACAACCAAAGTATGAAAGTGAAGAAACATTAAAGACATTCTCAGTACAAACAACTTCAAGTCTAGCTCACAGATCAAACAAAATTGCCTAGCACATGTTGCTGCTGCCACTTTGCAACCCCAAAAAAATCCTTTGATCTCTTCTTCTTACCTTATGTATAGTTACTGTCACCAAACCCTTTGAAATTTTTGACAGGTATCAATCAAGGCCCAAAACCTTTAAACCTACTGGTTTGAGATGTTGTGGTGATCCCATTGACTGCATGTCCAATAAGAAATGACTACTTAGGATCCCTAGCAAACCTATATTCCAGAGGTCAGAAGACCAAGTCAACCCCTCACAAGTCCCAAACTTATGCACAAACATTAGCTAAGATGTTGACATTCTTGCAAGTGATGAACTTCTCTCCAAGTCAAGGTTTTATGACAGTGTCACCAAGATTGACTACAAAGCAAATCTGTTACAAATGATTTGTGTACCAAAGACCAATCAAATCATGAAAAAGATCATGTGTGTCTGAATGGAGTTTTTCAAAGAATAAGATCTCCCATCTCTTGAGCTGTAAGACATCTCCACCACAGATCACCTTTAGCACCAAGACATACAAGAATACCTACATGCCTAAATAAGAGTTCAGACCAGGTATCCAACATTAAACCAAAACATCATCCCACACTTCTTTCCAAAACTCAAATACACAAATCACCTTTCCATCCCTCATGAACCAAACTCTTCAGTAATTCTATCCAAACCAAGCTTTTAATTCCTCATCCCTACCACCAATACAAATACTTAATCCATTTTGGTATAACCACAACTAACCTCTCCATTCCATCCCTCAAACTATAAAAGACTACTTTCCTCAAGTTCATTCTCTGAGCATTTCCCCTCACTTTTCCCCTAAGATCTTGGTTATATCTCTGCCAATCTCTCTCATCATCTGCACATCCATATCTATTATCTACCATAACCACATCTAGTCAAAGTAAACTCAAACCAAACATGTATGTAGTCCATCTTCTGGTGAATTGGTTTTAAATTTTAAACACGAGTCCAGCTAAAATCCCATAATCCAATCCAACTCCACCCTCATAACCATGATCATCATCAAATCCAAGCTCAAAAGATCTTTAACCTAAGACCCCAGAGTATGTTTAATCCACACTCAATGCTACTACTGAATCAACCACCTCAAAGCTCATCAACCCATTCTTGAAATTTTTGCATTGGTAAAGAACCAAGTGGATAATAACAACAGAAGATGAACCAGAACCATCCAAAGACCAATCCCAAAGCAATACCAAGACTTGATCACAAATAAACTATACATCAAAGCTTATTATCCACACCTCAGTGATTCAAAATTACTATCACCTATACTCCTTGGAAAAACCTTATCCATACTCTTATCCATCTAAACCAGTAATACAGTCAAACCGGAAAAGCTTGACCGATTTTGCCCGCAAAACTCGAGCAAATTGGCGGGTAATTGGTGGCAAGCTTTTCCGGCTTGACTGTAAATCAAACAAATCAAATGATTTGTTGAATTGGTTTTAAATCTATACCATAAGTCCAGATAAAATCCCATAATCCAATCCAACTCTACCTCCATAACAATCATCAAATCCAAGCTCAAAAGATCCTATACCTAAGACCCCAGAAGTTTAATTCAAATCCAATGCTACTACTGAATCAACCACCCCAAAGCTCATCAACCCATTCTTGACAATTTCGCATTGGTAAAGAACCAAGTGGATAATAACAACAGAAGATGAACCAGAACCACCTGAAGACTAATTCCCAAGAAATACCAAGAGTATACCACAAACTATACATCAAAGCTTATTACCAACATCTCAGACTCAGTGATTCAAAATTACCATCACCTATACTCCTTGGCAAAACCTCATCCATACTCTTATCCATTTAAACCAGTAATAAATCGAACAAACCAAATGATCTGGTGAATTGGTTTTAAATCTATACCATAAGTCCAGATAAAATCCCATAATCCAATCCAACACCACCTCCATAACAATCATCATCATCAAATCCAAGCTCAAAAGCTCCTATACCTAAGACCCCAGAAGTTTTATTTTTTAACTTCAAATCCAATGTTACTACTGAATCAACCACCCCAAAGCTCATCAACCCATTCTTGACATTTTTGCATTGGTACAGCCCTTTGCATAATTGATGACTTTGAAGAAAAAAAAACCTCGAGTTTTCAAATAAAAAACCTCGAGTTTTTTCGAAAAGTGACCGAGTTTTGTGAAAAAGCTGCTGAGTTTTTCAAAAAGTCAGTGAGTTTTTTTTGGAAACCTGGCTCAGTAATTCCAAAAGAGAAAGAGCTCGCTCAGTTTTTGAAAAACTCTATGGATTTTTGAAAAACTCTATGGATTTTTGAAAAACTCGATGAATTTTTGAAAAACTCGATGAATTTTTGAAAAACTCGATGAGTTTTTGAAAAAAACTCGCAGGTTTTTTTTTGAAAACTCAAGTGTTTTCTTTTTTTCCAAAGTCATCAATTCTGCAAAGGGTTGTAAAGAACCAAGTGGATAATAACAACAGAAGATGAACCAGAAACACCCAAAGACCAATCTCAAAGCAATACCAAGAGTAGACCACAAACTATACATCAAAGCTTATTACCAACACCTCAGTGTTTCAAAATTATCATCACCCATACTCCTTGGCAAAACCTCATCCATACTCTCATGATTCATCCAATTAAACCGGTAATAAAAAAGTGTTCAAAAAAAATCAATTAATAAATAACTTGAAAAAGAACTAAACTAAATATATCTAAAAAACATACACAATCAAAATCACAAAAAATCACAAACAAAAGCAAAAACAATAACACAAACAAAACAGTTGAAACAAAAGCACCAAACAAAACAAAACAATTGAAACAAAGCAAAAGCAAAGCAAAAGCAAATTTCAAAAAAAGAAGAAAGAAAAACAACAAAACAAAAAAAAAAACATAACCCATCATAAAAGCTCTAAAAGTGTAACAAATCCAAAACCCATCCAAAACCGTGACCAATTTACATTCATAAACTTCTATTTCTTCACTCATACTCCAGTACCACACCTTTCATCTCATGAAACCCCCACAACTTCCAGCAAAAGAAAAAAACTCATCCATGTAAAAAAACCCCACATCCAATGATTAAAACCAACCCATCACTCAAAGAAAAATCACGTATACCAAAAAAAAACGAAAAAAGAAAAACCACCACGACAACTTCCAAACTCCACAAATCCTAAACTCCTAAACCCATCCAACTGATAAATACCTTAATCAGATTTAACCGAATTCAAATTCCCATGATCACCCAATTCCAAAACCTCCACCCCAGCCAAACTTCCCCCATTTCCATTTCCCGTTCCCCCTGCTCCTGCTCCATTTCCTCCCGTTGCTCCATTCCCAGCACTCGTACTCACCCCTGTCAATTCAGCCAATTTATAAAACGCTTTTTGTATAGGTGATGATCTACATTGATGATGATGAGATTGGTAAGGATGAAGAGTAGGAGACGGTAAAGGAGAAGACACCGACGAAGGAGAAAGAAACAAATCTTCTTCCTCTACTTGCCATTCCTCAGTAGTAGCTACCAAATCCACCGAAACACAATCTCAGTACCCACTCTGAAGATAAAGGGAAAGAAAAAGTACTCACGAGTATGTGATTCGTAGGCCGGTAATCCGGACTCAGAACTACTTGTCCATCCACCACAACACTTACACCTAGGTTCATTACTTTGAAAAACCGATTTCCTTCTCTTTTCCTCCAACCAAGTCACCGGTAACAACAAGACATCAGCAAACCTAGGAGAACTAGAACCCGATCTCGAAGAGGATGATCTGATAAACAAGCGTCTTCTCCTATGCGAATGGTTTCTAGACCGATGAGTTCCATTCAATCTTCCATCTTCCATAAATGATCTAAACGATCTTAGACCGAATCGGATCAACCAGAATCCCAAGACTCCAATGGCTCCATACAACCAAAGCATTCCAAATTTGCCTAACCAGACTATAAAGCCTGCATCATCTGTGTGCCAACATGATCCATAGTAATGTGCAAAGAAAGCTGAGGAAGGAGTGTTTGTGGCTGGAAGGTTCTTGCCGTACAGTTCTGGTGGAAGGATTCGGATAGGTTTGGACGTTAGTTGGTTCGTTGGAGATGATCTGAATTGAGAATAAAGAGCCGAAAGTGCCATGGGTCCAGTCGAGAACATGACCGTTGGATCTGTAAGAAAACTCCAATAAGCATCACTCCTAAAGAAGTAATAGAAAGTGACTTACAGTTTAAGAAATAATCATGATCAAAGTATTGAAGATGATTAATCACATATTCCATAAACGGATGACGAGCAGAACTAAACATCAAATCATTTGAGACTCCCACCGGTATAGTCTGAGGCAAAAGCAAATCGAACAAAGGATTCGAGATCAAACTATCCATAGGTCTTACACAACCGATATCCAAATCCATATAAACCCCTCCATCTATTTGAAAACCCAAATCCAAAGCGTCAAGAATCCAATCAGTTATAAATTAACTGAATTGAGAGAAAAGACTTACATTGATGTAAGACAAAGTATCGTACCGCATCGGCTCTTTGGATCGGATAACGATACCCATCAAAAGTTTTCAAAAACCAAGGATAATGTTGAATAATCAATTCCCTACCACTCTGATCGGTCCAAAGCACATACTCCCAATCAGGATGTAAAGCAGCACAAGTAGCTCGAACAGGTAACCATCTATCTGGAATCCGTTCTGTTTTCCAAGTTTGATGAATGATTTTTGGAATCAATGTGTTTTGGATGGTGTGAGTGGTGGTGGTAGTGGTGGTGGTGGGTAATGAGTTGGGAGAAGTGGGTGGGATGAGTGATGATTCTAGGTCTTGGGATGTGATGAGATCGACAGTATGGATACCGAATAATGCGTTTGCTGTTGATAAGACGATGATCTGTTCAAAGTCACATGAGTTAGTTGATTGATTTGAGAAGAGTTGTGATGAATTGAAATGAACTTACAGTACCCAGAACGATGAGAAGTAAGAGTAGTAGAGCATAGTTCAACCAAGAACGATGTCTTCTTCTTGAAAAGATAAGAGTAGCAGTAGTCGAAGAAGGAGTAGGAGATGAATTAAGGTTAGATGTAGAAGAGAGAAGAGGTTGTTGTTGTTGTTGTTGTTGTTGATGATGATGAGGTAGTAAAGAATGAGATGAATAAACCATTTGAATGATAGTTTATGATGAATGATGATATCTTGGTTGTGATATGATGATATCTGATGATTGGTTTCGAAAATGAAAGAGAGAGAGATTGAGAAGAAGTGTGATCTGATGAGAAGTGTTATGTACTCGGATTTAAAGTCACCAAGTATGTATTGCTTGAAGTTTGTACAGTTTGATTTGATTTGATTTGAAGAAGAGAGAAGAAGATTATTTGATTTATTTTGTGATTTAAATGGGGAAGGACTTAAACAACATTGATAACTTGAGATGACTGATGAGAGATTTCATACAAACTTGCCAAGATCTCAATCAAATTCAATCTACCAAACAAATCGAACAGCAACTTGCCAAATCCACTTTAATCTTAATAATCAGATTTCAGATGACTCATCACTCCAATCAGAATCACAATCAGAATCAGCTTCAAAGATCAAAGATGAAAGATGAAAAACTAAAACTGATACACTTGATGACTTTCAATCAAACTAGTCTCATCAAAACTCACAAACTCTCACAACTCTTGTTCTCCTTTAAGAGTCCCAAAACTTATGTGTCTTGCTCAAACCCTCAACGGTATCCAGAAAATCAATCTGAAACCCCTTTCTCTTTCCCTGACTGAACTCTCTCATCACTATGTACTGATCGTTCTTGACGTCATAGAAACCCCAAAAAATACCTTTTCAAAACATTCGCATTTCACTGGGTCTGTGAGAACTTGAGATCATCTCTTCATTTCTTTTTCATCATCCAATCTTCTGTTTACAAAACTCAACTTGTTTTCCGTAAACTTGACTCATCAACTTTGCTTGGATCGGCTTGTGATTTTGTAAAGTCATCATGGCGCTATCATAACATACACAGTCTCAGAGCTTAATGAGTCATGACCAAAAGAAGACGTACACAGTCTTTTAATCAATTTAGACACACAACGGGTGACTGTGCACAAATCGCTACACCAACGGTTTGTACAAACACACAGCTTGGGTACCAAAAACAAACAGACGAATCAATCGGAATAAATCTAAGTCGGACGGACAATGAATGGGTTCATTTTGCGGTGCATCGTTTCTATGATCCGAGAATCAAGCCGTTTCTATTCGGAAACGGGAGGAGTTTGGAGAACCAAAACCTCCGAGCTCAAAAAGAACCAAAAAATTAAAAAAACTTGTGGGTCCGTAAACCCAGCAACGTATCGGGTGACGATGATCGGTTAACCGGCGGAGTTTAGATCGAATTTATCATCGGCTCAGGCTGTGTACAACATATGTTTTGGTTTTGGTTGAGCTTTGGTTGAGCTTCAGGAAATCACGTGATCGTAAGTGCCAAGGATCTTATCATCATCATCATCACCCTTTCCCTTGTTTTCATTTCGTATCCTTCTGGAACCTTGACTTTTAAAACTTTGACCCTGGTAATTGATACGTAGTGTGATAGATATGTTAGTCAGATTGAGTGATTTTAAACCTTGATTGTTAAAGGTTGAAAGATACATGTTAAAAATCTCATTTGTTAATCTTCCTTTGATCTGAAGTTTTGATTGTTAAAGTTCAAATGATTTAGACATGATCAGACTTCATATGAAAAAATGAACAAAGAAAAAAGAAAATCAAAGATAGATGAGAACTATAGATAAGAACTATAGATAAGAACTATAAGATGAAAAGAGAAAATAACTAAAAAATAATAATTGAGTACAGCTGTTTGCAGAAAAAATGCCATTGTCCAGTTTTTTATTTTTTTTATTTTTTTAAGTTGCACTAAAAATTATCAACGCAGATTCTACACAAGAGCAGCTGTACGTCATGATGTGCTAATTGTTAAAGATTGTACAGAGTCTCCTCACCAAAGGTTGAGAAAGCTTGTGCATTTCAGATACAAAGGCAGCATTACTTGTGATCTTTCACAAACTTCACACCCTCGAAAAAGTTGAGTACAGCAAACTACAGCTCTTATTGTAGAATCTACGTTGGTAATTTTTAGTGCAACTTAAAAAAATAAAAAAATAAAAAACTGGATGATGGCATTCTTTCTGCAAACAGCTGTAATTAACGCAGCAGAAGATCCTAACAAATAGAAATAACTATACTAAGTACAAAATCACCAAAATAATCAAACAATAGTATACCAACAAAAAGAGACACAAAGAAACCTAATAAATCAGTCAAATCATGTTCATTACCAATTACAGTACTCAAAGTTGTGTATACTTTGCCGTGTATAGTTTTTTTTTGTTTTTTTGAAGCTAGACACAACCTGGAAAAAGTATGTCTTTTGTTTGCAGCTCAAAAATCCATACCTCTGAGCCAGAAACATAGTTTTTCCTGGCCGTGTGTAGTTGTGAAAAAGAAAAGAAAAACTATGTACGGCAAAGTATACACAACTTTGAGTACCGTAAATAACTAAAGAATGATTCACAAATATAACCCCTACTCTAGAACTTGTTTCATAAATACAGCAGTTTTGAGAATAAATGCTGCCTGCCTGGTTTTATTTTTTTTATTTTTTTTAAGGTTACACTAAAACTTACTCACCTAGATTCTATATAAGAGCTGTAGCCAACTTATTCCAGGGTGCAAGGATTGTGAAAGATCACAATCTTGCTTATCTTTCACAACTATTGCTTTCTTTGTACCCGAAATGCACAACCTTTGGTATGGTTGTAACCAACGGAAAGGTGGGAGGAGACTTGAAATGAGGATTAAAATGCCCCATGTAGAATCTAGGTCAATGATTGTTTAGTGCAACTCTTAAAAAAAATAAAAAAATAAAAACGAACAGACGACATTTATTCTCGAAACTGCTGTAAAACATGTAATAATGTAAGTCATCCTTCATCCAAACTACTTCATCTTTTTGGTTGGTGTAAGTGTACCAGAAGTTAAACCAAGTTATCAAACCATATATGAGATTCTAAAGGTAAGTGTTGATCATATATATTTATAAAGGTTTTAGGTTTCGTATACATACACTTTTTGGGGCATCTCTTTATATACTTCAAAAAAAGTACAAGGAATGGGTTTTACAAACGAAGAGAATCGTGAACAAAGACTTCAAGAGTTTTGGAAAGAAGAAAATCAGATAAAAAACTCAAATAGTAAGATTTGAACTGTGTATGGATTTTTTTGGGGTGGGAAGGAGAGCACGAGGGAGTTTGTAATGATAAAGTTGATTATCCAAAATTGCAAGTTCAAACAATATCATGCATCTTGATTTCTTTTTCATGAGTGAGAGATTGTAATAAAACGGAAACGGATGACTTAAAGCATCACATTTTGAAAGCAAGAGGATAAGCAAAGATTCAAGTACTGGTTTTGATGACTGCTAATCCGATTTGATTATTAGTAGCATCAGTAGCAAAGTAAACATTCTAACAACCCCCGCAAAAAATCATAAAACAAAGTATCAAAGCACATTCCAATGTTAACAATCCATCACACGAAGTCTTAAAGACAAACCTTTAAAAAAATATCCCCAAGTAACCATTGACTTTGACCACCGATCTGACCCGCAGCAATTCCACTCATACAAATCCCATTCAAATCATTCAAATCCATAGGTTGAACCGTGAGATCCGAAGCCTTAATCACAAACTCTTTCCCACCAAAGAGTAATGAAACCTTCACATCCGTATCACAAGGTAAAGTAAATGATCCTTGTCCATCAGATCTTGCACCTGGAATCGATCCGTGGATTTCTTCTGCATCTGATCTTGGAACAATGATCAAACTCGTGCCTGTATCGAAAATTGATGTCCTACTGGTCATGATCACTTTATTGTTGACTTTGATCGTGTTTAATGTTCCTTCCCAAAACCCTCTTGTGTTAATATTTTCAATCATTGTTAAAGGTTTCACAAATTTCGATTCATCTACTCCTCCAATAGTCACCTGACCTAAAAACAAAAACAGCCAATACTCTTAATAAGTCACTTTTAACTTTCTTTGAAGAGTGAGAATGTTTTCTTGGGAGTGGTGGGGGGTTTTACCTATGTTGGAATCTTCTTCTGATCTACCTAATGCATAACCAATAAAAGCTCCTGAGATCTTTCCACTTTTCGCTAAAGCTTCAATCGGTGTAATCATCCCTGAAGTACTTAATGAACTTAAAGCAGTTCCCATCAATCCATCAAATGGTCTTTCATCACACCCCATCCAATCCCCACAAACCAAACCAAACCAAAAAAACATTAGATTTTTAATGATCAGAAATTCCATTGACCAGATTTTTTCGTTCCACGTTTGATGTCTTCGTTTTTAGTGTAAAGACTTACACTTTTTTAGATGCGAATTCATTTGATTCTTGGTTAGCTGCACCAAAAGTATGAGACCTCAACTTTAATCCAGCAATCTCGATATCTTCTTGAACTAAAAACCCAGAAACTTGTCCCGTTCCTAATCCCCCCTCCCCCACACACATCAAAACCAATATCAAAGTGGTTTTTTTTTCGTCAGGAAACTTAACAAAGGATAGTTAAAGATGTGGGATTTTTGGGGCGAGGTTTGCTTACCATATGTTACTTGGAATGGTTTGTTTGATGGTTTATAAGTTGTAGAAGATTCAGAGAGAGATTTATGAAAACAAGTAGAAGTTCTTAATTGAGAATTAGTACAACTAGGTCCCTAAAAACAATTACAAAACAAAATTTGTTAACCAAGAAGAAAAAAATAAAAACCAAGAAAAACCTCAATCCAATGAAACTTCTCAACCAAACCCCCCAAAAAAAACTTACTGAAACCCAAAAATCACTACTACCCGAATCTAAAATCACATTAAATTCTTCCAAAGGATTACCTACTTTGATAGTAACAAAATAAGCAACATCATTCGAATCAATACTAAATCCAATCGAATTCCTAGCAGTAATGTTTTCAGGTTTGGTAACTAAGTTTTGTAATAAAGCTTTAAGTTTTTTAGGACTGAAAGAAGAAGAGGTTGATGATGGTAAAGAACTTGTGGGATCGATGCTTGGTGACTGAGTTGATGATCCTTCTGGAACAATCAATGGTTGACTGCTTTGAGCCTGAGGATCCGAGGGTGAGGTTTCTGGAACGGAACTTGTAGGAATAAATGGTTGACTACTTTGCGGTCCTGTTATTCCAGGTGATATATCTGGAACGCTACCTGTAGGAACAAACGGTTGACTTCCTTGAGGAACCGTCATTCCAGGCGATATTACTGGACTAGCACCAGTAGAACTGCACGGTTGACCAGCTTGAGCACCAGCCGCACCACCAGATGATATTTCTGGAATAGAACCAGTAGGAAAAAAAGGTTGACCACTTTGAGAACCTGTCATACCTGGCGAGATTGCTTGTCCATTACCAGCTCCAATAGGTACCAAAGTTTGACCACTTTGAGTCACCATTGTAGCACCATCACCATCTGAAACAGATACTTTTATAGGATCCATCAAATCTCTTTTATGTAAATACAAATTCCGTCTTTCAGGTTCTTCTTTGGTAGGTTCATTTTTAATTTCAAGTTCATAACCAATCGAATAAGCACGTTTTTTCAAATTGCTAATTAGTTCTTCATCCGAAATCGGTTTTTGAGAAAACATTGAGTATCTTTTTAAGGCTCTGTTTAGTCGTAGTTGGAATGAGATGGATGGGTGTTGGATATTGGAGTGTAGGTCATTGATTCTTTTGAGTGGTAAGATGGTTTTTGACTCATGGGATTCAAAGTCATTTAGTGAAGGTGAAGATTGGGAGTCTGTTTTTGAATGATAGAAGTCGGGAGATCTTTCTTGATCTTCAGTAACTACTTCTGTTTTATTTCTGTAGTAAGATTTCGCCGCTGGTTCACTTTGAGACTCGATTTTGGAAGAAATAGATTCCGTCGAGACGTGGTCCAATCTTGATCTCAAGTGTGAGTGCTTAGATCTATGACGTGACCGAGTAGTGAGTCTAGATTTATCCAACGCATGTCCATAGCGGTATCGAGGTACCGCGGGAGTTGTGGAGCTCTCTGGCCACCGCTTCGTAACACTTTGCTGAGTATTTGGTGGTGCTGAAATAAGAGTGATTGATAAATGTGCTACAAGTGCTATGTGAGGTTTCATCTTTCGAGAAGTAAAGATAGAAAAAGAACTGAAGAAATATAATAGCAATAAATCAAGTCAGATTGAAGCTTTCCTACGGCGGCGATTAGATCTAAGCCAAAAAAGTAGGAACTGAATGAATTTGAGAAGATCAGGAATGAGACTATGAATTGAACATCAGAGTCTTGATCATAAGCATATACTCGAACTCACTAGCAAATGTGGATAGGTATATCACTAAACTTGATCCTGATCAATGTGAATTTTGCCAAGAAGTTGAAGATTTTTTGCAAACAAGATACGACCTTCCCAGACGGTTTTTCTGATCACGATGAAGCTATCAATCGAGATCTTAAAAAACTAAAAAAACCGTTTCGCCCAAGTCCTTGCTTGAGGATGATTTATATACTGGTGAGAGATGAGATATAAATTAATTCGAATTGGAAAGCTATGATATTTTCCAATAGGGTGACGAATAGTAAAAGGATCCAGTCCTTTTGATCTAGATAACAAAAATAATCAAAGATAGAAGAATCAAAATGTCCTTGAAGGAGATTGGCAATTTGACTGGCCTGCTTATGCTGTCACAGGCACTGATAAATCGAATTGTATATGCGTGTAAGACTTTATGACTGGAGGAAAAACCAAAGGTAAGAAAAACCAAAGAACTAAAGTGGATGAGGAGGACGAGACTGAGGATGACTCGATAGCACGAATATACATAAGTTTCGTACCATTGTTGATTAGATATCAACGATGAACTCTCGATAAACAGTATCTTCCAATCGTACATCAAGATGGGTATGTCAATTCTGGAGAGGAAAGAGACAAGGATGAGGTATGCACGAAACAAAGCGCATGAGATGACAATGGCATCTTGAGCGAAAGCATGGCAACGTTACGCTTAACCACAGTAGATGGCACATATCAACTCAGAAAGAACAAAGGGAAACTATACATCCCGGTTTTTAGGATACAGTCATATGTTCGCGTGAGATCACAACCGGACCTGTTTACTGAGATTGATGTTGTGATGGAACAACAATGGGGTCGTTCAAGTAAACCAATTTGGTGATTTTCTATCTAATCATCACGATACCACGAATATCCACGCCAGCTAAAGGAAATCGGATCGACTTTCAAAGCACATTGATATTATGCCCACCAATACTGCCAAAACAATATTGGGATTTTATGGATATGATTTGAAACTTTGAAGCCTATGATGGGTCATTTCTATGGAGTCAATTTGAGCAAAGTTGATCCCGAAGGATGTTGTATGAGCCGCTGAGATATCACCATGATGAAAAGCGAGTGAGCAAAGAATGATGAGGAATGGAAACACGAGTCACTGTCAAGTGATCAGCTGCTGTCTTTCGGACTGCCCCGAAGTCTGGTTTCGGTTTTCGATCAGCTCGGGACTTCCGTGTGATATGGACCGCGCAATAATTTTTTCGAAACTGCACTGAAAATTATTTGACGCATTCATTCGACTTACCAAGACTATTCCAATGACCATCTCTAGAACCAAAAACCAATCCAATGAATCATACTGGATAGGCCTACAACATTCTCTCATCGATCTAAGATTTCGAGGCTCATACGAAGATCATGAAAGCTCATCATCAAATCTTAAACTTACCCAATCACTTGTGGAAGATTATTGTTCAGGTCAATGGAAATCAATTCTAGAAAACGCACAAGTCCGTCGATATTTTCAAATCAATGAAACAGTTTCAGTGATTCCTATCGAACTTGAAGATGATTTGCAGTTTGAAATCATCTCACGATTAACGGTGGTGGCTACTTTACTTTCGATCTTTGTACAAGTGAATTTTACTGGACCTATTTTCGATGTAGAACCTTCAAAGGTCTTTAATTCGGAGATAGATGAATCAAATTTAAATTCGATCAGCTTAAGCGAATTATCATTAGCTGGCGAACCTGCTTATCATCTTACTAAATCAGCCACTTTTCTTTGTTTGGCTATCAAGTTAATCGAAAGCTTATCATTGATTAAAAATAAAAAAGGAGTCGAGACATTGGCATGGTGGGAATTAAGAGCTGGAATCTTACATCGAAAATTAATCGAATCTCAAATTCCATTTTCGGATGAACTGTTTTTACGACTTGATGAGCTTTTAATTGATTTAAAAACAAATTCTTCAGAGAATTCTAATGCTCAAGATTTACTTCCAATGTTAACTTTAGAAAGAGGCTTAGCTGAACATTTGATTGGAAATGATAAAGCTGCAAATCAGTTGTTCCTTCGTGCTGCAGAAGAAGCAGGTCTGGAGTGTGAGTGATTTCTCAAAATTCGATCTTCGTGCTGGCAAATTTTGACCTGATGGTGGACATGCATTCTAGATGAGCTTACAGGAATACTAGGAAAACGAACCAAGTTTCAAGAACAAGATCTGAGTCAACTTGTCCTATTGGCTAAAGGTCGAACCCGGACGCCTTTTCTCAACACTCAACCTGATCTCTCCGATTCTCTTTCTCCAACGAAACAAAGCGTAACCCCTATCACTTTGGCTCTCAATGACGATACCTTGCTAGAAAAGACTCAATTCACTTCTACAACTTCATCAATGTCTTCATTAAGCATTGATCCAAAAAACCAACCTGAACTTCATCCCTTAGACCAATCCATCTTACTCGCTCTTTCACTTTCGATCAAAAACACTTCTCCTTCGCACGGTCTTACCAAAGCTCAAATCGCACCTTTTATTGAACGCGTACTCGAAAACCCAGCCAATTGGTCTGTCCATAGTATGGCACTCTTAGTTCGGAGTAGACTAGAAGCCCATAGATCACGTACAGTTGAACGAGGTTTACTCCAACTCCAAGCCCTGGTAGATCAATTGACTAAGGAAGCCGAAAATGATCCAGTAGATAGATGTACAGCAAAAGAAAGGGTTCGTTGGTGTTGGACGTTGGAACTTCCATCTAAATGGGACCTAGAAAGACAATTAGGTAGAAAATTGATCGGACTTGGAGTAATTCGAAGTGCTATGGAGATTTTCGAAAGACTAGAAATGTGGGAAGACGTAGTCCAATGTCATCTTACATTAGATTCCAAACCGATAGGAATTCAATTAGTTAAAGACTTGATCAATGGACAGAAAATCGAATCCGATTTGAAAATGTCAAAGACTCGTTCTAATCAAGATGGGAAACGACTTGGAAAACTTTGGTGTTTGTTAGGTGAACTTGAATCGGATCCTACACATTGGAAAACAGCTTGGGAAATCAGTGAACATACTTCAAGTCGTGCAATGAGATCTTTAGGAGCTTATCATTTCTCAAAAGGATCTTATACAGAATCATATGAATGTCTTTCAACTGCTTTGAAGATCAATCCTTTGTTTGCTAAAACTTGGTTTATATGTGGTTGTGCTGCTATGAGATTAGAGAATTGGGAAGATGCAGAGATGGCGTTTAGGCGTTGTATTTCATTGGATGACGAGGATGCTGAGGCTTGGAATAATTTGGCTACTGTTTATCTTAAACAAGCCAATACTGAAGAACCCACAACATCACACCAAGAGACTTCAACTTCCCACCCGCAAGATCCAAAAGCCGACCTAGATTCTGATGAGGATGATGAGGATATTCCAGTACCAATGTTAATCTCTCGTACAACCTCTGCATTTCATGCACTACAGCAAGCAGTCAAAATTTCATATGATTCATGGAGAATGTGGACAAACTATATGATTGTAGGAATGAGTATTGGAGAATATTCAGAATCGATCCGAGCATTAGGTAGAGTCATCGAAATCCGAGGAGAAGATGGATTGGATTTAGATGTATTAGAAAAATTAATTCAAGTTTCGATTATTTCGAAAAATTCACTTTCTAATGAAGAAGAGGCGATCATTAATTCTACGAAGATCTTTGATAGATTGAAGGATGTAATGAATAGAATCGTTTTAATTAAATGTTCAAAAGTTTGTAGGGTTTGGGAATTGATGTCAAACTTATGTGAATGTGTTCAAGATTATAAAAGTGCTTTGGAACATCAACTTACAGCTTATCGAGTTGGAGTTTCACAGGTTACAGAACTATGGACCACTAATTTAACATCATGGAAAATAGCATGTGAGATTGTAGAAAGAACGCTTGATAGATTAGAAACCATTGGATCTAAGTTGAATGATGAAGAGGTGAATTGGAAATGGCAAGTTAAAAGTATTTTACGTGGGTTTTTGAGTAGGTCTAAGAATAGTTTTGAGGATGAAGAGAGATGGGTTTTACTTGATTCACGATTGAAAAGTATTAAACAAGGTTGAGAACGTATTCATAGTTGACATGTCTTGTGAAAATGGATTATATATCACTGATGTAATGAAAGCAAAACGACAACTCTGACTGTTCGAGCTGATTGAGAGGGCCCATAGGGAAAATATTTCCGCAACTTGGTTCGAGTTGAGGTCTGATAAGTAACTTGCATTTTTGTTATTGTTGAAGCTTTTGATATCGTCAGAGGACTTTGAGATTGGGACTTTGAATTTTCAAAACTGATGATAGTATACTGGTGCCTTGCTCACATTCAGATTAAATGTTTTGGCTTATATTTTTTTTTTCAAAGTGGCGCATGGCCATTTGAACATCATACGGTTTCAGAGTTTTCAAAAAATAGCCTTCCCAGTAGCTTCTCAAAGGATTTCAAAGTTCACAATCCAAATTCCTCAGATCTTTGAGATTCTTGCGGGTTTGACCCGCAATGCTGTGTCGGCAGTTGAAACAGTCTGCTAAGGATCTTCATTGCGAAAACGCCACTCGGACCTCACAATCCGAGGTAATCCTGATGGCAAGCTAGATCCAAGGCATTTCTCCTGCTGGCGCAACAGACTGTAAGTGCAAGAGCTCAACGAGATCATTCACACGCAGACTTCTAGGAGCACCGCATAGGTCTTGATTCAGGTTTCCACACAACTTGATCAAGTTGACGTAAAAGAGAGAAACTTACATCCTCCGATAGAGTGTTAGCATCATGCGGTATCATATATATGTATTACAATGTGATCAATGTTTGAACGCTGGCTCAGAGTCACAAGTCTGTCTGACGGGGACAGGCGGGGACGGAAAAGTTTTACTTTGGTACATGAAGAGATGCCTCGCTTCGCTCCTGCGTAGGACTGGTAGTATGTTTCTAATCGACTGAAGTTATGATACATGGTAGATCGAAGCCATCTTTTGTAGGATAAAAGCGAGCAAGCTCTTCCAGCAGCCACGCATGAAGAGCTCCATTTTATGGGCAAATCCTCGACTTTCCTGGATATTCAGCTGGTTAAACCCTTACAAACTTACATATTTTTATTCGCCGGCGGGCTGAACATTCGTGCACCTCACCTGACCATCATTCGCAGTTCGATAGTCTTTACTATTCTCAAATTTGACCGTCCGTTTGTTAGTAAAACCATTCCATCACAATCCTTCGAGCCTAGGTCTTTTTTCTCAAATCGTATCCTAGCAAGAACTTGACCCATAAACACCTTTTGAGGGTCTTCGACGTTCCAGCGCTCTTCAAGATCCTTTGCATCATGAAGTACCATATGATCTTTGTGGGAGCAATATCCCTCCTGAACTATCAGGCATATGGTCTCCTGCATGAACTTGTAGCTCCACCACTTCCGCAAAACTTCCAGGTCATCGATAAAGGAGTAGAAGGTTTAAATGCTCACATCAAGCCCTTGCCTGGCATGGAAAAGATGCAAGCAGATTTTGATCTTAATCAACAATTGCAAAGACAGACCATTAACTATCAATTCAATCCGAAAGAATCAGATGTCCAATTCGGGCCGTTCGGGTCGGAAACAGATGAAGTTGACGGAGGCACGCTGCACATTTCTGGACCAACTACTTCAGTAGCAGCACCAGAAATAGCACCAGAGGCAATCGCAGAACCAATAAGAAGTGCATGGGTGGCCGCACGTCGATTCAGAGGATGTTCTCGCAAACCTCCGCAGGGCGAAGTCCCCCCGGCTGTCAAGGGACGTTTAGCTTGGTTCTTCAACGGTGGTATAAATGGATGTTGAAGACGTGGAAAGATGCATGAAACATCTTCGTTACGGGATCTTCTTTGATTATTACTGTCTTTTGGTTTGCTAAAGAATCGAGGATATAAACCCACGACTTCCTTGATTGTGTGTTCACTTGCAAGACCAAGAAAACACTCGTTTTTGTTCAACTTCTTTATCGTGCTTGTCTGTTTTAGGTAGTCTTTGATACACAGATTTTTGGAGGGATTTGATAAAATTAACATTGTACCTGTTTATACAAGCAACTCGGAATCATCATATTGTGGTATGGTGAATATATATCAGCTAAATTGTATTTACCAATTGGGGAGATAGCAGCACATATCACATCAATCATCTCCCCGACTATGAGATCTCACCTTTTTTACATTCCGAGAAAATATTGTCTTCTTTTTTCTTGAGGCTCTGGGTGTAAGAAAGATTCAAAACAATCAGATTTTTGGGTATAAAAACATGACAACCAGGCAGTAAACGTTTTCTGTCATTCATATTATGAGTTGATGAATGCGGGATCCATAGAAAAGAATGATTGAGATGTGTGCACGGGAATGGCAAACTGATTGGTTGAGCTTGATACAGGAACTAATCAAGCAGGAAATAAAAGTTGATCATAGAAATTACTCACATTTTTTATCTCAGCTTACACATCTTCCCTTTTGCTATGTATTTACGGAGAACTGGTGCATGATCCAGCAGGGGTCAATCAAAAGAATTTGAATACAAAAAAGGACTCATAGCTATTGGATAAGGCTCATTAATCCCTATGGATCTCCCATTTCCCATGTACACATCTGATTGTCCGGTTTACCATCCTTTGCTTAGGCAATCTCGGTCGGAGGAAGGTGCAGTGTCATGTAGACAGCACAGCCCTTCAAAGACTTCAATCATGAAGCTGAGTTGTCCAGGAATGTGATCTCAAAGCGCTTTGCGATAAAGGGTACGCAATGCTATTCCTGATCGAATCTTCCACGAGTCTCAAGTGGTTTTTCTCAGGCCCAAGCAGAGACTCCAGACCATCTATTGCAAGTCACAGATTTCTATTGCAGCTTACCAATGGACCGTTGCTGAGTTTGATGAAATTTCAGGTTCAAGGGCAGTAATCAGTAACAGATTCATGTCCCTCTTTAATGGCCGATTCGCGTATTGGGGCACATTCTTATTTTTTGGGAGGGGATAAAACCTCTTCTCGTCTTTGTAGCTGGGAGCAATTGATCAATTCTCCTTCCCGTCTTCAACTCTTTATTCGCAACTTTATAACCAATTCTTGTGATACCAACTCAAAGCTTTTTAACAAAGACCTATCAATCAATCTTCACAATGTCTTCTATCACATTCATCGCCTCAATGGAGAGCTCTGCTCAACTTTCCAAAACTCAACCTCAACCCAAGCCCGTATTTGCACTTCCCATCATACCCGTCAAAGCCAACGAGCCGTACTATCACGAATCATATCCAATTACTACGCCAGGTGTTGATTTGATTCTCGCTTCCTCAGATCTGATTTCATGTCGATTTGCTATCTCTTCTAGAAAGCTGGCTTTCCAACCTGAAGTATTTTCTCGTACCGATAGAGTCAATATCGAACTTTCTCTTGGGGTTCCTTTGGTTCAGATGGATGGATCTAAAGAAGTCGTTGAGATCATCTTATCTTGCCTTGATTCAAACTTGATACCGGACCTATCTGCTTACAAATTTGATGATCTCGGTATGTTATTTTTTGGGTCATGTCCATTGCTATAGAATCGCACAAGATACTATCTTTTCAGCTTTGTAATGTCTGTCATGAAGCAAGATTGATTTACGTTCTCCGGTTCAACTTACAGTTAGTGCACTCGAAGCGGTGGCAGGCGGGTTGGAACTTGAGAAAGTGGAACGACTTTGTTTGCTTGCAATTGGGTAAGAAGAACCGTCATATAAGACTGAGTACCTTCAATCAACTCATGATTTTTTTCGCCCCCTGATTTTTTTTGTAAAGTTCATATTACAAGTCCAAGCCCGTTCACGTATTCGCACTGGCTGAAATCTACGAATGTGATTGGATGGCCAAACTCGCATCCGAGGAAACATTGCCATTGGACATCACTCTTTCAGAGCACAAGCGTCTTCTTTCCAGTGAAGCTTATGATGCCTTGGTGAGGGATTTCATCGATTTCTCCCCATTTTACAAAATCAAATAGTTAACATGTTCTATTGAAATTATCTAGCTCGAACTACACTCCTATCGAAGGAAAGAAGCTCGTCGAATCTTAAGCAACTTGAGGATACCTCTAAGCTTTTCACATCCTTCAAATTGTGAACCATCTCACATTGAAAACTTTTGGAAATCTTCGTTAGGTAGACTTAAAAGAGCTGCATTGAATTCATCAGCTGACTTGAATATGAAGAGGTTGTTTTCACCCGAACTTGAAAAAGCTGCAAGTTTATTACCTTGCTCTTCATGTCGACAATTGGTTTCTTGTTTTGCTGAGTTGGCTGCTATAGAGTTTAGTCAAGTTAGGCGTTGGGTTCTTCCCACTTCATCTAATTTTTCTGATTCAAGCCTTCCTACTCATGAAGCTTCTTTCAAGCAGTTGTGAAGTCAAATTGATGTAGGATTGAAGTCTAAAGATCCATTTACAATACCCTCTTCAATGCAATCTTGTAAACTCAAAGCTACTTTGAACATTCCCTGCAGAGATTCTTGTAATACATCTTCTTTCTAACATCTTCGTTTTTTCATATCTCTATGTATTCAGAATATCACCTTGGATTTCTTGTTGGTGAATTTGTAGATCAGTATGTAGTTTTAAGATCATACATTGTCTTCTTTGATAAATTTTCTATTTCACATTCTATGAAAAATCCATGTATACATTATTTGAAGGTCTATCTGAATACAAAAGTCTCAGTGGCTTTTGATGACAATAGCACATTAAATAATCAATTCTATATCACCTTTTCTTTGCACCTGGTTGTTCATAACCATTGAGATACCCTGAACTCAAGAGAAAGAAATTGGTTTGTGGAAAATACTAAAAGCACATGATTTTCAGTCATGATTCAATGACAAAGGACTCCTTGTATTGGGGCTCTGAACAAAGTAGAAAATATGTTGGTCAACATTGCTGGCATTGGTATTGTTCAGCGTAACAAAATCAGAGCTATTGCTTGTGAGCTAGGGCAACTTTCCATAAGCAGAGAAATGTGGGGTTCAAGTTAAACCATAGTTTGGCCTAATCAGAGGGAGCTACTCAAATTTCTCCCTGTCCCCTTATGAGATCAAAGCCCCATACTGAAGAAGGTTTTGTCTTGAGACATCTTTTTGGAGAGTCAAAGGGGCGGAACAATTTAAGCAACACTGCCACAGTTACTTTACTGTTTACAGTAAAGTAATGGTAAAGTAAATTCTTTTCCAGTATAAGTATCAAGATACTTAGTGTTGGTCTGACCAATACCTTACTCCCAGGTCCCTGAGAGTCAGACAGTATCATCAATTTCAATACCGTATCTAGTAAAGTATCAGAAAACTGATACAGTCAAATAGAGTCAAATGCAAAAAGGTTGAAATCTTGTTACCAAACATTTGGGTTGATGGTCCGTGCACGCGGCATATGTAAGCGCCTCTGAACACCCACATATCCCCAGTGTGCCCTGTATCCTCCGTCACGTAAGCCCCCTAAAAGATCTCTGGGCTTCATTTCCTGGTTCCCTTCCCTTTCCTTCCGGTGTCCATGCCATGAGCAGTCTTCACCCATATTCCAACCACAAGTGAACCGCCCATGGATTTCATAGACATTCATCCGGGACCGATCAAGTTTCAGATTGGTTCCTGTCATACCACCCATCATCTTTGATCATCAGAACTTGATTTTTCTTCCTTGTTCAACGCCTACGCTTCCTACTTTGCCAACACCACCAGTACTGTTCTCATAATGAATCACTGTTTGTCACCTGCCCAAATGAGCACCCTTTTAAACCCTACCAATTTTCAACCTGGGTTCAAGTATTGATTGCACCCATTCCAAAGTCCTCGGTCTTCTCAACTTGCCACCAAAGGTTGAACCCAATTCAACCCCAATCAAGGGACTTGGTAACGGCCTGCCCACCACACCGTGTAAATATCCTTGTAGCATGTCGACGTGCACACACAAAAGACTTTCCTTAGATCCTGTAAAGACCCATCAAAGAGGTACCACAACAAGCACATCTTCCCCTTATCACCTGGGAGGTTGAAAGTCAGTTGACTCCTGCTGACCACAAAGGATTCCGCAAATCCTTTGAATAAATCACTATTCACAAAAGGTGCTCAAAGGCAATCTCAGTCTAAATCCGACCAAAAGACTTTGAGATTTGTTTCAAAACCCTCCGTGTGTGCACTTCGATGTGCTACACAAATATTGACATGGTGCCAGTGGCAAGTTGATTCATATCAACCTCTGTACTAGCGAGCAGGATGTGTATGACTATGTGGAGGACAGCCCTTCCAAAAGCCCAGGTATGTCCTTTTTTTATCTTACAGTTCAAAGGAGGGTGACTTTGAACTGAGCGCTCACTCTCCTCACTCTCTTCTCCCTGGGCCTACCTAGGTGCTCAAAAAGACACACTCATGTGGCTGCGGAGTTTGTCTTACACTTTCTACTTATTGAAAGGGACCAACATCACCAAGGGAAGCAGCAGCAAGAAAAAACCGGCTTACATTTTGATCCCGCTGCCTACCACCAAGGTGTTGTTTGACTTATCCTCAAACAAGTTCCACAACTTGAAGAAACAGTTGTTCCTGTTATCCAGCAAGATCGACAAAACCAATGATGACTTGAAGGGAAACACCACCATCCTCCAAGCCGCCGATGCGAGTGACAGAGTGGTGATCATGGAGTTCATTGTCAAACATGATGCCTATGGCAAAGGGCTCAAGCAAGAGTTGGGGCAGAGATGGTGATGTTGGGAGGTTTTTTGCTGCTGTTTAAGCCTTGCCTGGCACGGATGCTGGATTCACAATTGTCATGTAAAATCCAGCCAAAGCTGCGCAAGAGGCAGCCGATGTAAGCATTTGCTTTTTGCATCCTCCTAGCCTAGGCCATCCAGCTGATCAAACCTATTTCTCATGTTGCTCTTGATGTAGAGTCTGACCAAAAAAACAAGGGCGACTTCAAGCTCATCACAACATTGAGAATGTTGCAACCACGTTGACTGCGCTCGCCCGTTTGGTCCCACTGGATCCTCAAAAAGAATTGCTCCAAACCTTGCAGCCCAAACTTGGTTTGTTCACAAACCACAATAACAAGGGTTAGCATATTTTCAACCCAGACGATCTCTCTAAAAAGATGGAGTTGACCTTTGCGAACCTCATTGAATGGGCCGGAGCATTAGTAAGCCCAATTTATCTCTCTGACACCTCTTGAATATCTCATGTATCTGACCCCAAATGTCCCTCAGGCAGCAGGTATCCCGGGCGTGACCTTGAACATCCCGCCAAAAGACCCTGACTTTGTTTGGAAGGACATCAAACGCCCCAACACCATTTTTTCCCTGGTGCCAGATGTCAAACAATGCAAGATCAGCCCATGGCCTCCTACCTTCCCCCTTGGCAGCTATGCTGAAATGCAAAGTACCAACGTGAACATCAATTATGATGTCATACGCAGGGTTTATCCTCAATCAACGTTGTTTGACTACCTAAGCTTTTGCGACTTTGGTGACGCGACAATTTTGGACATAGCAAAGATCTTGATTGCTCATGGAATCCACAGTTTTCACCAGATTCTCTTCCCCGCCGTGTTGAATGCCAAGATCATCAAGTCATGGGGTATATTTTGGGGTAGCGCGATGGAACTAATGATGCATCCTTGTAGGTTCTATCAAAGCCGAGCTCAACCAGAGAATGATGTTGATCGTTTGAACAAAGGTAAAGTCAAGGCTGTAAATTCAGGGGATACAAAGTACAAGTCCGGGCACGTGCCCGGGCAAGCACCCAGAAGTTCAGATCCCCGGACACAAGCTGAAATCTGGGCAAAAAAAGACTTCCCAGCTCAACACCCAGTTCTCCGCCCGGAAACCCCACACTCATTTCCATGCCTTCAAACCACGTAAATTCATGTCTTCCTCTCAGGTTTAAACTTGGATACCATCAATTCCTCGTTTTCAATTGTTTTCTTCTGTGTTTCCTGAAACTTATCTTTTTTAATACTTTTCAATCGTGTTTAGTTTTTGATTGCTTTTTTGATTTTGATCATTTCTGTTGATTGTTTTGTTGTTTTTGCTTGAAACTGATCTTGTTATGTTTTGTGTTTTGCTTTTGATCGTTTCCTTTTTGATTGTTTCATTCTTTTGACTGTTTTTTTTGATTGTTTTGTTTTTTGATTGTTTTGTTTTTTTGATTGTTTCATTCTTTTGGGTTGTTTTGTTTTGTTTTGTTTTGTTTTGTTTTGTTTCTGCTTGAGACTGGTCTTTTCTCTTATTTAACAAGCATTGTTCAATCTTTTTCTTCACAATTCAACTCATCTTCCATTTATTGAATGTTTTCTTTCCTTCCTTTGCAATTGCACAGTGGTTTCTCTTATTGAGTACTTTTGATAAGGGAGTCAATTATCAAGAGCGAGTTTGTAGAGATCATCCCACAAGCCATACAAGAGAGAGCAAGAAAAATATGAAGCTTAGTGGATGTCTGGTCTTTGGGTATGTATCACAATAGCTTAATGTCTTGGTATAAACGAGCTGCAGGGCCATGAGCTATTCCTTTAGATTCAAGGACTCTATCGTTCCACGGTTTCTGGCTACTGAGGGTTCAAAGGTACAGGGGTGCCCGGGCACATGCCCCCAAGTCCAGAATCTAAATTTACAGCCAAAAATGAAATCTGGACTTCTGGACATGTGCCTGGACTTCTACTTTTATCCCCTAATTGATGTGATACCTGCCTGTGATTCCCAAAACCCTCCTCTTTACACACATCATCATCTTTTGTCCCCCATTTGTCAAATGTGATGTGTTGGTCAATCACTCTATGCTTAAAGCAATACCCACATAACTCCTGTGTACACCCCGTCATCATATGTTGTATCAATCTGATTTAGGTTACTTTAAACAACGCCAAGCCGCTGTGCTGCGTAACAGCAACGGGGGGTTGCGGAGCAGTGCAACCTCCCAGATTTCAAGCCATAATGGGCAGCGCAGTCAGCAACCGCGCTGCCCGTTGCGTTACCGTTGCGCAACGGGGGGGGCAGGTGGGACAGGTGGGACGGCATAGCATTTGATTGATTGCATCATGTTTATTAGGGGTGTACTACGTGTATATTGAAAGAAAGAAACTTTTTTTAAACTGATTCGATTCATTTACCCATTTTGGTCTTCAACTTCCCACCAAAAGTCTTGATTGCATCGTTTACCTCGGTATACTTATGTGCTAAAGGCACCCCTTGACGGATCCAAAGCCTCGATCCCACACAACATTCGATAGTTCGTGGGATTAAAGATGCACGGTCGGATGAGCATATATCTGCTGCAGCAGAGAAAGTCCGTTCAACTGTGGCCGAGCTCGCCGGAAGAGACATATAGTCTCTGGCTAGAGCAGCCAAAACTGGAAAGACTGTACAGTTTGCCTGCAAAGAACAACATAAAGCAACGGTGAATAAATTGATCATGCGAGGTTTTATAGGAGAAAAACAAAAAAATACCTTCCACCATGGCAAGATTGCTATGCTTTCATGGGCGTTGTCTTGGGCAGACATTGGATGTGACCCCTTCAGGTAGGCTGCGACTTCATCTACCTCAACCTCGGGCTCTTGAGCTGTGAATAGCTGAAACATGCTATTGACCGAATGAGAGTCCGAGTTTTCCTTGGCCGGGGCTGGATTATTCTTGGGCTTAGCGGCTGACACCAGTTCTTTACGTTGCTTGTCAAATTTAGTTCGAAGGAGGTTTTCCGCACAGATGGTGTGGGGACTTTGAGCCCCAAAAGCCTTCTTGTAGAACTCGAGTCGAAAGAACGGGTTGAGGAGACTTGCCATTACAGTGGTATTGCATCGTAAAGCTTCTTCGAGGTATTTATCAACACGAGTTTGCATCGAGATAATCATCGGTAAGAGTGCATCACCCACTTGAAGGTCCTTTGCACGACTTGCAAGGTGCACCTTGAGTGCGTAGAACTTGGGAATGACCATCGATCCGGTTGGCCCATCCCCCTCCATTCGTTTGGTCAGGTCGAGGAAAGGCTGATGAGAAGCAAAATCATAAGTAAAAGAGTCCAACTTAGGAGTTAGTAAAGGTCATGGACTCACAGCAAGTTCATTAGTCAATTCCTCAAGGGAATTCCAGTCGTCCGGTGAGAAGTAAATCTCGTGGAAGTATCCACGAGGTTTTTGGGAACTCCTGTTGCGTCTCTTCCTACTACGCACATGTTCCAAGTCCTCAGCAAGAAGTTTGTTGACCACCTGCAATGTGACAAGTGTATCATCAGCGCTAAAACACTATGGGAAGCAGGAAGATAAACCCACCTTCCGTGCCTGCACCAACCTGTTGAGGGAGTCAAATTCGGCGTTCCATCGTGTGGCGTTGTAGCCCGGAATCAAAGGCAACAGTTTGAGATTGAGAGCCTTCGCCTTCCTCGCGAAATGTCGCCTCCAAGCCGCTGATCGAGCCACTCTGCGCGATATGAAGTTAGCCTACAAACAAAAAGGAAATAGCAGTCAGTTCCAATTTGGAGATCGATATGACCTTCAAGAAATATGTCAACTCACCTTACTGGATCAAACGTTGAGCTTGTTTGCGTGCTGTCTGGAAGTGGTGTTCTTGAAACACTCAGCACCTGAAGGCTCAAGTGCTGCTGCTGATTCAAGAGGGTCCTCCGCATCGTGATTATCCTCGACATCTTCATCATACTCTGGAGCCGAGAGTATGACCTCATGTTGTGAATCATGGTCAGTCTCGTACTCATCTTCTTCATCAGGTGTAACTTCAAGGTCGTGATCAGATTCTTCAGTATCGATATTGATGACTTTGGGTTGCTCTTCGCCTTCGTCTTCGTCTTCTTCGGCAATGACGGGCAACTTGCCAGTGATTGGAAAGGCTCCAAGGGTTGACTCACGCAGCTGGGTTCGCGAAGGGGAAGTTTGTCCGAGTTCGGCTAGACCTCCTTTAACGGTGCAAGATATCTTGTGGAGGAAACACCTTGCATAGTCCGTTCTAGGGCTCCATGTGTAAGATCCTGTGGTAGAAGTCGCATTGGTGTGTGATGCTTCAGGAAGTTCGTCTTTGGAAATTCGGAATTGAGTGTCCATCTCTTCGGCCATAGTTATGTTGTTCGAACCGGAATCGGTGACCTGGGCGAGCATGTGGTGGAATCAAAAGGGAAAACCATATCTAAATTAGATAATTGTTCTAATGAAATATGGAAAAAAAAGGAATACTCATCTTGTAATGAAGCTTATGCTTCTTCATAAAGTGAACCAACGGTTGAGCTAACCATTTGCCGTTGTGGTGCCACGCAATCAGCTTGAGTGTAAGATGTCGCACTTGAAATCGCCAGTTGTCGTTGATGAAAGCCACCGAAGCCCCTAGGAAGGCATGGATGTTGTTGGCAGTGGTCCAACCGTCGTGGATCAGGGTAAACCTGCCCTTGTTCCTCTGCCACAAACACTATGTCAGCGAATTTGATGTTGGAAGGAGAAGGATCAAATACATTGAAAGAGACTTACCAAGATCTCTTTCAATACGGTATCTTGCAATGACGTATACATCCCGGCTGCCTCTCTGGCCACCCAAGTTCGTCCAAAGATTTTGATGTCGCTTCTGATATATCGGAACGCCAGGCGGAGGTGGTAATCCTCGATACGACTCCAAGGCAACGCCCCAGCGAGAATCCACACCGCAAGGATCTGATTCAAGGTTTCGTTTTTGAACTTAATCTTGGATTCTTTTGGATCAAAAAACTCCATCATTTGGCG